GTTTTTTGCTTGAGTCTTGTTTCTGGGTCCCTTGGAGACAAGGGCAGAAGTAAAGGCATAGACATTGCCTCTAGGCTGTGCAGTGTTTGCAGTCTGTGCTGTCTCAAGGAGAAAGGCAGTTTAGGAAGAGCCCAGATAAAAAACCTGTCACGCATGGCATTTCTGGAAATAAGCACCTAGTCTTCCTGGCATGCACAGCAATGGAAAAGAGGGGCAACAATGCAAGGGCAATCCTCTCTTGGATGGTTCATCAGCATTTAAGAAACTTGAAAAACTGAGTCCCAAAGAACTGTGGAGACAATGAACTTAGAAGGTATTGAATTCTTAAGATAGGGCTGATGCAGGTTTTTGAACAATTTTCAGTCTGCATTTGCCAGGGTGGATTTATGCAGACAAAATGCAGTCTCTTCCCATCCATTGGAGATAAGCAGAGAAATAATCATTAACAGCTCTATTTCCTGCCACTGACCAAAGTGGGTTTTTAAGCTCTCATGCTTGTAGTATGTAAACAAACATTCAAGGGATAGGACCGCGACCACTCACCTGGCTAAGTAATTCACGATCCTGGGACTCCTATTACTCTCCATGATCCTGATTTCATTCATGGTTAGTATCTTCCTATTCATTCCTTGCACATTTATTTTCTTTATGGCCACCTCAAATGACATTGAAAAGGAGTAATTTGAGAAAATTGGTAGCATGAGACCACAACACACATGGAGCAAGTGATTTTGGAATGGCACAGCCAAGCTGTGCCAAAGTGCCTTGTGATTAGACCTCATCACTGGAGTAATTAGGGAGTGACATTGCAACAGCCCATTTCTCTGCTCCCTTGGGGGTCAGTTACAGGACACGTGGCCACTGGCGATTTGCCTTGTCCACAAAGCCTGTTCCAAGTGCAATTTGCAGGCTGGCTCCAGTCTGTGCTTCTTGTGCCTTTTCAGCACAGCTCTACTCAAAGCTCCAGCCACAGCTGTCAGCAGTGGGGAAAGGCCTGGAGAGCAGCAGAGGCTGCAGGGGCTGTTGACATTTACCTCTCCTCCTGTTGCAATGTCAAGTGCTCTGGAAACCTCTCCAAAACCCCTAGAAACAAAACAGCAGCAAAGAAAGGAGAAGCCATTTAGATCTTGCAGTGGAAGCCAGTCCAGACAGGAGAGCTCTGCTGTAAAGGCCTAAAAGCTGCAGGTTGCAGGAGGGGTCTGCCAGAAGGCAGATGATGCATTTTCCCCTCAAGTGCCTGGGCACTGGGCCTGTTCCTGAAGCCTTGGGATTTACTGCCTCAGCTCCAAAAGGCAGCTTATTCCTTCATCTCGGCTATCAGCTTCTAAACTGTGCAATTCTAATCCTGAGCATGGAGTATTTCCTTTAGCAAACTCTTGGAGAGAAATGTTTCTGAGAACTGTTATCTGACAGCTCTTATTGGGGGTAGGTTGTGCTTTCAGGCAAGCAAGATTCTTCTCCTTTCATTAGTGTGGCCAGATGATTTGGAGACATCCAAAAATGCGAAGGAAATGAATCCTGAGCTGTCCCACACTTGAGAGACAAGCAGATCTCCCAGGTTCTGTTCCTTGCTGCAGGCAAGACCTTGGCAGCATGGAGATGTCTTTGACAATGCCTTCTGAGCACACTTGACAAATTCTGGCCAGTACTGAGAGATGGGGCAGACTAAGCCCGCTGTCTAAACATGTGGACAACTTGTCTGACTTCCCACTTGATGGATATTCCCCCAGGGAAACACCTGGCCCGTGGCTGTGTAGAAGTGACTGTGGTTGGACTCACCCGCTGCCAAGACTTTCCAGTTCAATGTATTTTGTGATGGGATTTTCCTTGTTCACCATTCTCCCTGAGGGAAACAAAATGCAAGATGCTGACTTTCAGGCAGAGATCCCAACTTGCAGGAGATGCCAAAGGCAGCCCCGCTGTCTGGGGCTCTGAACCCTCTGTGGTCAGCTGGGCAGCAAGCACAGCAGCAACAAGACAGGCAGTTGTGCAGTACAAATGGGCAGCAGAGAGACTGATTTTGTCCAGTCCTTGGAAGGAAATGAAGCGCAGAGAGCACAGCAGGGCACAGCACAAGGCTGGCAAAGGCCAAGCATGAGCACTGACAAGCAATGGCAAGAAGACACAGCCAGCCTGAGCCCCTGACAAGCTTGTAGCAAGTATCTGTTTCTTCATTGTGGGCCCAATGAAAACATCTCTTGCTCTCTGTTTCTGCTGTCACCTGATGTTCTTTCAAAGGAGTCCTCACTGACAAAAATACAGCATTCTCACAAAAACCTTGTAGATGTAGTAGAGGCAATAAAAACAGTCCTAAAAATGACACCAGTAAGACACATGGGTCAGAACAGCTCTTTCAGGGTGGAGAAAAAACAATCTCTTTCAAAAAACCCCAAATCAGAAACCAAAAAAGGATAAAAACTGAGAACTAAAAACGGAACCACAACAAAAAGACAAAACCCCAAAACTAATCAATATCTCTGAAGTCTTTTGGTTCTGATGACTGGTGGGAAGTCTGGAGTCTAATGAGAATTTAGGAATCAAATATTCTGTTCAGTTTGGCCACTAGCACACAGGACTTGCATAGATCATTTGCTAGGCCACAGCCTTCTGCTGATCCAAGAACAATTCCTGCTTCTGCCTTTAGTGGCAAGGGAATGCCAGGCAAAGCCGAGCCAGTCCAAGCTGCCCTCAGAGGCAGCAGGAACAGCCAGAGCGCTCTCTCGCTGCCTCAGAGCACAGCAGTTCCTGTGGGGAGTCCTAAATGTCTCTGGGACACCAAAGTGAGGAGGATCATTTGCTACAGCTCTGCTGGCACGTGCACACAATACACTGTCCCTCAGACAAGAAATACACCAGACGTACTCAGTTGCTCCACGAAGTCTCCCTGGCTCTCCTGGAGCTGAGCAGCAGATGTGTCACTGCTGGACATGGACAAACTGCACCGGATCCACTGCTCAGCTTGGGCAACAAAGGCTCCTTTAGATGCTGCTGCTGCTGCTGCTGCAGCAGATTGAATGGAAGAGCCTGTGTAGATCTGCGAGAAGAAAGGAGTTTGTGTCAGAAAGCTGGCTGGCAGAGATTACCCCGAGTTCCCTTTTCAAATGCAAGCCCTTAGGAAGTTGCTGTTAGCCACATGCAAAGCTCATCAACTGGATTTTTTGGATGCCCGCTTCTGGAACCAAATGGTCAAAACCCAAGGTTGGTTTTAATCAAGTTGATGGCCAGTTTCATATTCCATTTTCCTGGATTTTCTGAAGGATGACTGCAACAACGACCATTGCACTTCCTCCCAAGGATCCCTTTCCCCCTCCAAGGGCTGCAGACACATTTGCAGCTCCTTGTTCTAATGTTGGAGCTCCTCCTCCTCAGTCCTCTTTTCCTGCACCATCTTCAGAAGGTGCTCAGCCTGCAGCACTTGTGCTTGGGACAGTACCTGTGCCTCCCGCCGACCTTGGGGCTCTTCATCAGCCGGCATTTGCTGGAAGCCTTCGCAGGCTGCCAGGTGAGATATCAACACGTCCACCTCAAGTCAAAGAGAACAAAGCAGTCAGAGACCACAGCTTGTCCCTGTGTGCCAAGGCTCATTGACTGTGAGCAAAGGGAAAGAGCAGGACAGCAGCAGATTCACCAAGGCATACAGACAGCTTGCAGCTTGTATTCCAAATCTGTCTGGGGGACTGTGTTCACTTGCAAAAAGCCCTGAAGAAACAAGGAGAGCAGGAGCAGGCCAGCAGGAATCCCTTGAGATGAGTGCTGGCAAAAGGGGCAAATGACTGGTGCCACTGTCCAGGGCAGCAGCTGAGATTGAGCACAGCAGGAAATGTCCTTCCAAGCAGCTGGGATAGACACTACAGCAGGATGGCACTGAGAGGCATCAGCCCAGCCCCCTGCTGCTCTGCAGAGGAAAGGCAAGAAGGGCAGAAAGCACCAGACTGCAGTGACTGCTGTGCCTATCGCTCTTTCACTCACTCGATTTTCTAGAGCCTCTTGCTGCTGAGCGAGGAG